TTCTTTTCCAGCGACATACTTCTCACAGTAATTGCACTTACATTCTCTTTAGGATTAACAATCGTTTGAGAGGGTAATTTGCCAGAGCTCTGTGCTTCCAACCGACTTACCGTAGTTGCTAGTTGGCCAACTTGCCTTTCTAAGATTTGAATACTAACCTTTGTTTCTTGAATACTAGCTCTTGTCTCTTGTTGGAATAGTTGTGTTTCTTGTTGAAACTGCAAAGTGTTAGTAGCAAGAGTTTTAACAATATCTTCTAGATTCATACCTGAGCTAGAGCTTTGGGCTGGTTGTTGGCTGGAAGGAAATTGTTGTCTATACTGTTGAAAATTGGAACGATTCTGAACAAACTGGTTGTCCCATAGCTAAGGTTCGGGTGATCCCTCCATCTAGGATTATATTTATTAGAAAATGGATCATACTTACCTTGAGGTTGTCCAGGAAAACCTCCAGCCATGTTGACTTGTTCAACTTCTTGAAGAGTTGGGCAGGCATCAGTTTGGTGCCCAACTACCGAGCAAATTCCACATGCTTTTACAGTTTGCATATTGCCTACAGCTAATTGACGAACAAGAGTAGTTAAACCAGAAATTTGTTGCTCAAGAGCAGAAATATTTACCTCATTCACTTGCTTAGACGGTTGGACAAGTCTATTGCCAAACTGTTGAGAATTTGCAGCCATGTTTGCAATTAGAGTTCTCGCAGCGTCCGGTGTCTTGTCAACTAAAGCACTACCGCTTGCGGCATCAATCATGCTTCTATCCATAGGAAAAAGTCCTTCATAAAAATACTGAATGAGTAATTGATCACTAATTTGATGGTGTGGGCAGGTTGCACATAGTTTCTTGAAACGCTCCCAATATTCATACAATGACTCTCCATTGTTTTGCCTTATACCACAAATTTCCTTTCTAATGTTGGCCGCCCTTGAAGCTGGGAAATATTTTTCAAGGAATAGTGTCTTTAAGTTATTCCATGTGGTGATGCTCCCAGAAGGTAGATAGTATAGCCAATCCTTCGCTGAATCTTTCAACGAAAAGGGAAAGGCTCTTAACTTGATTTGTTCTTCAGTAACCCTAGTGGGTTTCATACTTGAACACACCACATGGAATTCCTTTAAGTGCTTGTGAGGATCTTCACCTGCAAGTCCATGAAAAGAAGGCAAAAGATGAATTAATCCAGATTTCAGTTCGAATTGTACATTAGCATCCAGAGCAGGGAAAGTGATGCATAAAGGTTGCTGATCCAAATTTGGAGCTCCAAGCTCTTTTAAAGTCTGATTTTGAGCCATGGGTTCCTCTTCTAAATCAGAGTTAGCAGAATCGGTAGCCAGATCACTAAACTCTAATTTCCTCAAAGCTTGTTTCTTCCACCTGCGTACAGTTCTTTCAATTTCTGGATTGTAAGGCAAGACTTCTTTGTTAGCAGATCGAGTTATAGGCATAAACCGTTAAAGATAGTGCAGCAATTATGTAAAAGTAACGAAAGAAAAGATTTTTTTTTTTTAATTTTTTTTTTGGGACAAATGAAAAACAAATAAACAAATAACAAAATAAATAAATAAACACAAAATAAACAAGAAAAGCTCCCCGGCAACGGCGCCAAAATTTGGTGAGCTGTCGTAGGCTTCCAAATTAAAACCTTACAAACGTAGTAGCGGGAGTAAGGATCGATCCCACGAGGAGTAACAAGTATAACTTTTGTGCTCAAATTAAAGGTAGGGGGGTTTGGAATATATCGAGAGTAAAGATAAAATAAAAGAGAATTTAAATAAACAAGAAATTTAATTGAACGAATAAAGCAATGAAAATAATATATCGAAAACACTTATAATAGGAGACCTTGGTTAGTAAAGATCCACCACCGGAATTCAACACTGATCATTGATTAATAAAGTAATTAATATGCAATTGAATATTTGTCGTGAAATTATTTCATTTCTGTTTTCCCTTAGTTGTAGGTAAATAAAGCACAAGCGGTTTAATTACCCCTAACTACTAAATAATCTAAGACAAGCGCTATAGATTTAATTTAGTAGCAGCAATAGGAACTAGGAAAACCGACAAACTAAATAACACAAGCACAAGCAGTTGCATTTAATTTAGGAAAATATTCTACCCGAGACCAATTATCACTAAGCCGTCAATAATTAACCTCGTTGCCGTCAATAATTTAGAAGAATATTTAATACTCAAAATGCATAAAAACATATATATAATAAAGTTAAATAAATAACCTTACAGCGTTATGAACTCCGGGGCTTCAATTCACTAAACCAACTAGAAATTAGCCACAAATGGACATTGATAACAACTTCAACGAATACTATAGAAGAGGGAAGAATGAACATTTTACAATAGAAAACCTTAACTATTTATATATTTTCCCAATCATTTTCTACCACTCATTTTTCCTATTATTTTGCCTTATGCCTGAGTCTTCCACAATTCCAGCCATGTTATTATGATGCATGCCTGTACAAAAAAGAAAAAATCAATTGCAAAGTTTAGATTTATAATATATATATATAAGTAATTATAATGTAGTACGCATTATATGTATACTATAATGCATTCTATATTATATATATTATATTATATATTATATATATATATAGTATTAAGTACGTAGTATGTACTCTTATAAATTATATATTATATATATTATATATAGTATAAGAATAGATTATACTATGTATATAAAAAGAACTAATTATTAGATAATATTAAATAATTAATATAAAAATATTATAAAGATGTAACTAAAATATGAGTGTAAAATATGCCCATCAACGCCCCAACCTCTAGCGCGCTCCAGTGATCTACTCGTTCGTGCCTGAAAGCCAAATATATCTGTTCAGCGAGAGATGCTGGTAACCCACTCCAACGCGTTGAAATACAATACATATAGATATATACATAGATATACGAAAAGTCATTTCGAAGCATGAAGATATATCCTAAGAGACTCTAGCTTTCAAATCAGGGAACCGACTCGACAAATAGGGGTACACACAACCCACAGTCATAACCAAGTATATACAATTCTCGACATAGGGCACAGTTATAGATAAACACAACCAATAATCACAATTAAACATGTATAGTTCACTAGCAAGAATCCTATGGTCACGTTTCCATAACAGTCACAACATCAATCCTTCTTATCTCATCCTATGGCACACTTTGTTGGCGCCACAGGACCAATCGCATGCCCATACATGAGGGTCAGCGCATATAGCTCTGACACGGCCCCGCAGCACCCTACCCCGTCTCACAATACGGAGGGGTCGATCGCAACCGACCGATGAACCGCAGCTCATCATAGTTTGATCGCAACCAAACAGTGGACCGCAGCCCAAGAGTATGTCATCTGACCGCAGCTAGGAAATATGAACCGCAGCTCATGTAGAACGGTGGACCGCAGCCCTATATAATATTTATATACCTGACCGATCTTAACCGGTCTGGTTAACAATTGGGATGGTTCTCAACCCATTCAACTGCCCATATAGTGGACCGCAGCCCTATATAATATTTATATACCCGACCGATCCTAACCGTCCTGGTTAACAGTTAGTATGGTTCTCAACCCATCCAACTGCCCGTATAACCAATTTGATCGCAACCAAATTGGGGTAACATGCACACACAACACATAGCAAGTACAAGCAGCCCATATTAGCACACTGGGAAGGGGGAGATATCGTATAACGAAACCTACGCGTGGTCATCCACAACTAAGAATAGTCCTAAGGGGTTCATACTTCTTACACCTAGGCCAACGGAATACCCATCCAACTAGCATGTAATATACAAGACTCTTTTAACCTACGTACGGTATCCGAACATCAAACTAGACATAGGCATGATGGGAGGGGTCCGTTAGGACACCACGGGGGTTGGGGGAACATCAAACGGGGAAGCCAAAATCCCAAATGGGGATGCAAACCAGCGGGTAGCCGGTGGGTGAGGGTTCACCCGCCGGCTGCCCGCCGGCGGTACTTTTCCGGGCAGTGGGTGCCCGGCGGGCAGCTGCCCGCCCGCCGGCGAGGCTATTCTTAGCCGTGGGTAGGTGGCGGGTCCCCTACCCCCACCTACCGCCCACTGACTCTTCTTCACAATTAAATGCCCCGGGAACCATCGTGGAACCCGGAACCATGCTTAGACACTTACAAACGTAATCGACAATAACACGTAGACAATTAACGGATCCAAAAGCAAGAACATACGGCACATAACCTATCATGCTTTTCTAAACATAATCAACACCCAAACCTACGAATTCCCACCCAAAATACCAAGAATAACACAATTCGAGTTCCACGATACAACCTAGGGTTCTAATTACTTTTAAATCAACAAGAGCACGATTCATCTCCTATTATCAAGATTCGGTTGGAATTTCACATAAACATTAAGAACATCATATAATCATCAAGAACACCACATAATTATCAAGAACATCAAGAACACCATATAATCATCAAGAACCTCTCCAGATCATCAAGATCACCCATGGAATCATAACACCAATTACCAAGATCAATATAACGAATCATCAATCACACAAGAATATGGGGGAAATCTTAAGAGGGGAATCATAGCTATAAAAATAGGTTTTGTTGAGACATGGGTTACCTCTTAGCCTTAATTCCTTGGCTATGAAGGGTCTTTCTTTAAGCTTTCTTCTTTCTTGATTTCTCCTAAGGGAATTCTTGGAACTTCTTGTGTGGTGAGGGATTATTGTGGTGGGGGATTCTAGGTGCCTCCTATGTCCCCTATTTATATACCTAAGAGTCCCAATTAGGGCTAGTCCTATTCCTTATAGGACTAAGGAGTTGGCTACAGGGATAAGGCCCATGGACTATGGTGGGCCTTTTTCTAATTAATTACTGGAATTTAATTCTTTCTTTTGGGTAAATGATTAAATGATTAATTGGTTTTAGGGGTCGTAACACGGGGTGTTACATGCGAGATGCCCAGGTATAGGTATAGGACCTCCCCCTTAACGGATTTGGCCAGGGGGAGGAGTGACATCAGGTACGTCTTGAGGTCCTCGAACGCCTTCTGGCACTCTTCGGACCACTCGAAGCCCTTCATCTTTTTGAGGACTCCAAAGAACGGCAACGATTTCTCGGCCGACCTCGAAAGGAAACGGCCCAGGGCTGGCAACCGGCCGTTGAGGCACTGGACCTCCCAGAGGGACCTCGGAGGTTCCATGTCCAGGATGGCCTTAACCTTGTCGGGGTTGGGCTCAATGCCCCTCTTCGAGACCATGTACCCCAAAAATTTCCCCCCATGTACCCCGAAGGTACACTTCTTGGGGTTCAACCGTAAATTGAAGCGTTGCATAACCGAAAATACCTCGGTAAGGTCGTCCGTGTGGAGGTCGGCGTCGGTGCTCTTGACGATCATGTCGTCGACGTAGGCCTGGAGGTTGCGGCCAAGGACCTGCTTGAACACCTTGGCCACCATTCAGGTGTAGGTGGCACCTGAATTTTTCAGTCCGAAGGCCATGACCTTGTGGCAATAGACCCCCTCTGGCGTAGTGAAGGCTGTCTTTTCCTCGTCGGCCACTTCCATGAAAATTTGGTGGTACCCCCGGAACGCATCTAGGAAGCTCATAAGGGAACAACCTACAGTCTCGTCCACCAGCTGGTCAATGTTGGGGAGGGGGAAGGGGTCCATAGGGCAGGCCTTGTTGAGGTCGGTGTAGTCCACGCACATCCTCCAGGTGGGTGGCTTTGGGGCGAGGACTACGTTGGCTAGCCATGTGGGGTATATGACCTCCCTGACATGGCCGATTTCTAGCAGGGTGTCGACCTCCTTTTTGACGAACTCCCTCCTCTCGGCAGAGAGGTACCTTTTGCGCTACTGGACTGGCTTGACCGCGGGGTCGACAGCCAGCTTGTGCGTGATCACGTCTCAGCTCAGGCCTGGCATATCCTCGGGGCCCCATGCGAAGACCTCCTTGTAGCTCCTGATGGTGTCGATTATCCGTGCCCGGAGGTCGGCCGGAAGGCCGACCCCTACCTTCACGACCCGGTCAGGTCGGCTGAGGTCGAGGATGACCTCCTCTGTCTCGACCACGGGCTCGGCCCGAGGTCGACCTGCCTCCTCCCGGAACGCCTTCTCAGCAATGGTATGGACCTGGAGGTCCTTCTGACCAATTTGGCGGCACGCCTTCAGGTAGCAGCTGCAGCTCAATTTTTGGTCTCCCCGGGCGACCCCAACCCCGGTTGGTGTCGGGAACTTGAGACATAGGTGCTCCATAGAAATCACACATCTGAGGTCCTCCAGGGCGGGCCGACCGAGAATAATGTTGTGGGCGCAACTGATCTTAACGACTACGAACTCGACCTCCCACCTCCTGGTGTGCGGTGGGGTGCCTATCTCCACCTCCAAATTGATTGACCCCTCCGTTTCGATTGAGTCCCCCGTGAACTTGGACAGGGGGTCCGTACCTGTTCCAGCTATCCTCTTGAGAGTCCCAGCTGGATGAACGTGTCGTAGTACATGACGTTTACCGAGCTACCCGTGTCTACGAGCACCCGGTGCACCACCACGTTGTTGATGTCCAGTTTGACCACCAGGGCGTCTCGGTGGGGGAGGGGCCCATCTGGCAGGTCGGCGTCGGTGAACGTAATGGGCTCCCTCTTCGGTTTCTTCTCATGGGGGGTACGTGTTACCTCCCCCACGTACAAACTCCTCGCCCACCTCTTCCGCTCGGCTGGCGAGTCCCCTCCCTCGGGCCCCCCAAAGATGACGTAGATGGTCCGTTTCTTCGGGGGCTGGGAGTCCTCCGTCATCTTCTCTTCCTCCTCGGAGCTGTGGTCGTGGTGGTCCCTCTTACGGGGAGCCGAGGTGGATGGCGCCTGGCCACCCCCCTTCCTCCATACGTTACCTGGCTTCTGGCCCGGCGCCTGCCCTTGTGTCTGCCCTTGCGCCTGGCCGGGCCTCTTAATGAATTGGCCGAGGTAACCCATTTGGATGAGTTCCTCGATTTGTCTCTTTAAGAGGATGCATTCGTCCGTATCGTGCCCTTTCTGCCGGTGGAACCTGCAGTACTTGTTGGGGTCCCTCCTTGCCGATATCTTCATGCACTCCTCCTTCGGGAACACCACGATTCCCTGGTCCTCGGCGTGCGCCAAGATGGTACCCACAGGTTGTGTCAGTGGGGTAAGATAGCGTGTGGGATTCAGCCTGGGCCCCTCAGCATACTCGCGTCGGTGTGGCTGCGGCGCCTTGCGCTCCTCCTGGGGTGCCTTGTCTTTCCGACCTCTTCCTTCCTCTTGCTCCTTCGTCCTCTTCTCGGCAGCCTCGGCGTCAGCGTACCTTGCTGCCTTGTCTATCAGGTCGTTATAGGTCCTGGGGGGGTACCTGATGAGGTCCTAGTGAAAGGCGCCTGACCTCAAGTTGTTTCGGAAAATCACTATGGCCGACTTCCCATCAAAGTCGGCGACCCCCATGGCCTCTTTCTTCCACTTGCTGAGGTTCTCGGCGAGTGATTCCGAGCTCCCCTGTTTCAAATCGCACAGGTCTGCAATTTGCTTCTTCCGCTGTATGCTGGTGGCGAAATGGGATAGGAACTACCGGGTGAGGTCCGCGAAGGTGGAGATGGACCCCGCCGGGAGGGATCCGAACCAGTCATGCGCCTGCCCGTCTAAGGTGGCGAAGAACCCCCTGCATAGGATGGCGTCCGTCGCCTCGGTGATCATCATGGCGGCTCTGTACCTGGTTAGGTGTGCCCGCGGGTCTGTGGTCCCCGAGTATGCTTTAATGGTGGGAAAGCGAAAATCTCGAGGTAGGGGCTCCGCCATGATGGTGTCCGTGAATGGGGAGGCCAACACGTCCTGGGGCTCCGAAGACCCGTCCATCTCATCAATCTTCTTCTGGAGCTCGTCCATCCTCCTCTGCAGCTGCTCGACCTCTACCCGATGAGAGCTCGGATCTCTACCTTTCGTTTCACCCGATCGTTCGACCCGGGAGGCCTGCTCGCGTCGCGGGTGGAGTCAGGAGACCCGACCTGCTGACCCGTGCGAGGCTGCCTCGTGTCGTTGCTGGGCGCGGGGCCTATGGCTCGACGACCTCCGAGTGACCGATCCCTGTCGTGTCGGCCGGCGGGAGCATGACTCCGCCGCCGGTGGCCCGTTGGCTGGCCTCGGACCCAACCTATCCCGGGCTGTCACGCGATCGCCCAACCTCTCCAGGGCGGGCCTGGTTTGGGTTGGTGCCCTTCCATCGTCGTCACGCTGGCGGTCTCGGCAGGAGTCTCCTCCTCCCCGCCTCTCTGATGGTCGAGGCGAGTTGACCTCCCCCTGGGTGACAAGTGCCTGGGGCGGTCGGGTGCTCGGGCCGCTGCGCCCCCGGGTGGGAGGAGGCGGAGGCGGCGCCGGCGCCCCTTCGGTGGCGCCTAGGGAGGCTTCATCCTCTGCCCGGAGGCCCGCCGCGACGCGCGCCAGCGCGGTTGAAACTTGCTCGAAGACCGCCACCCCCTCCTGGATGTGCGCGCGAGCCAGAGCGGGGGCGGCAGGGGGTGGTGGTGGTGCACCACTGCTACGGTGGTTGGTGAGTTGGGCCCTCAGATCTCCCCCTGACCTGGTGGTGGCGGCCGGTTGGATGCTGGGGGCGGGGGTCCCGTTGGGACTGTTCCCGTTCGCGACGAGTTGGGTGCCGCGGGAACCATTGGTATGACGAGAGCCGGATCTCGATCGTGCCATCGCTGTGGATGAACAATAGTGGGGAGAGCGCTTAAGCTTGTACAACAGCTCTCAACAAGAGCACCAATGATGGAATTAATTAAACTGGGGGTCCGACTTAATTAACCCGAATAAGAATACGGATGATAAATAAGTAATACGAATGATGTAGCAAAGGCCTTGAGACCGTAAATTGTATTAAAATGCCGTAGAATTGGCTATTACAGTAGTATTTTAGGACAAAGTATGTAGAAGATGTAGATTGTGTCTTAACGAGACAAGGTGGGGGGCTTTTATACAACCCCCGCCCCTAATCGCCACCCCCTAAAGCGGGGGGTGGTTAGATCCGAGTTGACCGCGCCCGGTCTCACGACCGGGCCGCACAGTGGGGCCAGGCCGAGCCCATCATGGGCTCGGGCCGAGCCCGTGTGGAGGTCGGCCCGACCTCTTCGAGAGGCCGGCCCGGCCTCCAACGTGGCCCGTGCGGGGGCCACGTGGCGAGGTCGAGCCGAGGCGGGTACGTGGCGCCGCCCCGGGACCCGTTCTTGCTTCGCGCCTTCGGGTCGATTCCTAATATATCCTTCAAAAGGTCTAATTAATTAGTAGCTATTCTTCTGTATCTATCTGTACACATTCAAATGCAATAATTGGAGACCTTAAACTAGAGGCATATCTGATCTTTTGCATCATTTCATTGAAGCAGTATAACAAAACAACCTTAAAAACCAGTCATTGGAATTCTTCCCTGTGAACAGAACTGCTCCACAGGAGAACAACAGCAACGACAACGAGTATAGTGACCAGTGTCCATTTCAGAGCAATAGTCTAATCAGAAAAGAACAAATGTTAAACCTTAGTTTGAGCAGGGTTATGAACCTTAGTATCATCATCCATACATTCTCGCGTACCTCGAGCTTTTTAAACCGCCAGATTGGAGAATCACTCAGATTGTTGAAGTGAAAGTGTCAAAGTGTTGAAGTTGTTATGGTTCTGAACTAGAAATGTGATGAATTCTGACTGGTTTCTACCAAATGTGGCAAAAGTAATACTTGAGGATCAAATGTAGAAGTGACCTATTAGTCATGGGACCAAAAGTGAAAATAATTCTAAAGTTGATTTACATACCTGTTACTTCTTCTTTGTAATGCTTAATTTCCTTACTTGTCATTTCTATTGTTGATTTGAGTTCCTTCTCACTCTCCTCAACCTCTGACAAATCATTCTTTAACTTGATAAGTGTTGTCCCCAATTTGGTAATCCTTGAATCCATGTCCCGCTTCTGCTCATACTCCAATCTGGGAATTGATATATTATTACTCCGTAATATGTATTGCATTACAGTAACAAATCAGTATGCCAAAGCTGCAAACTCTCCAAGTGTTCTTAAGATGATAGGTTCAAACTATCCCCCATCCCCACAGATTATGCATGAAGAGAGAGAGAGAGAGAGAGAGAGAGAGAGAGAGAGATGACAAACTGCAATATAACTGATTAAACACTTAATCATTAAGCAAAGTTATACCTCTTAAATAATTAACTTCAACTAATTCTTGTAAATAACTATCATCAATGTACACATGAATGACCAAGAACTTAGAGTCCTTGTCTTTTCTGTTCCTCTCCAAGTGCTTCCTGATAGCAACAGCCTTCTTAATAAAGTGGTACAAATCCTCTGGAATCTCAGGAGCAAGCCCTACACACCCAAACCAATATCAAATCTAGAATCATAGTAAATGACCGTACTCATGGGAGCCCAAGCATGTAGAGGGTGGCTTGATTAATTAACAAAGTTGAACTAGAACTGGCTTGTAAATAATAAAGCTTGGGCTATTAATCTCTTAGGGGATTGAGCTTTTCTTTGTTTAACACCAAAAGGATAATGCTCAGCTGGCTTGTATATATAATAACAAAACTCACAACAGTGGTGGAGCTTGGTTCGGTTTACCAAGCTAAAGAGGCCCAAGGAACACTTTTAACTCTTTACAACTATAATCAAACAACATTCAACAATAAACCAGAGCTAAGTATACTTAGAAGTTAGAAATTAATAAAGCTAGAAACTTGGAAAGACAAACAATACCATGAGCTTTGAGGATTCGGAGAATCTTGCTTCCAGTAACACTCTTCACCTGAGTAATTCCATGTGAATCCCGGAGAATAACACCAATCCGAGAAGGAGTCATACCCCTTTTGGCGAACATACAGATGTTCTCATCGACCTAATATGATGAAAATTACACTATCAATACACTAACCATTCATAGAATCCAAAAAGCAATCAATCATATCAGACAAAGTCCCGTATCAATGTTAGGCAAATCAGAAGTCATAAAATGCAAATCGAACAACAAAAACTAATCAAATTGATATATCTCACATCTTGGGAAGAGATCTTGAGCTAGCTGGGATGGGTTCTCTTGTACGGAAGAGCTGAAGATGAAATACCCTTACTGAAATGCAACAAGTAATGCAACCGATACTTAGAATCACGATCTGACTATACATTTCAACAATGAAAGTTAAGGTATTTGGAATCACTGACGTACCCGCGACTGTGGCGGCGAGTATGGAGACCGGAGGCGTCAGCGGCGGCGAGCTTGGGCGGCTTGCGGTGGACGATGAAACACTAACAGTGCGGATGGAGAGCGGCGGATGGCTGATGGACGGCGTTGAAGTGAAGAATGGACGGCGGGGACGGCTGATGGAGAGCGGCAGGCGGCGGATGAAGATCGGAGCGGATGAAGATGGTTTACGCGTGAGAAGGTCGGACTAGCTGCTGGGTTGCTAGGGTTATTTGGATTAAAAAAATAATTCGCGTCACTTTGGACGCGAGTGATGAATGGGATTCTATTATTCGCGTCCAAAGTACTGAGCTTTGGACGCGAATAAAAGAAGACTTTTAATATTGGCGTCCAAAGTACAGAGCTTTGGACGCCAATACTGTTTTAAAATTTAAAAAAAAAAAAAAAGAAAATTATTTATATAGTGGCATTTTAATTACAAAAATGCCACCGTATTACACTTTAGGCGTCCAAAGTTTTAACTTTAGACGCGAATTAGTCGATTTTATTGATGTTTTTTGTACTAGTGTATTGAGGTCTACTTGCGATGCCTGGTTGGAGATCACCCTCGAAAGTGGACAGACATTCTCCCTTGGGTTTAGTATTTTTACAATACTGTTTTCCACTATGCCCTCCGTTCAACCCCTTTTCAGATTGTGTATGGCAGGCCACCTCCACGTCTTTTATCCTATGAACCAGGTACGTCTAAAGTGGACGCAGTGGATGCAGCTTTGCAATCTCGAGATGAGGTTCTCCGTGACGCACGGCATCACCTCCAGTTGGCCCAGTCGAGGATGGAACAAGCATATAACCGCCTCCATCGAGCTGTGGAGTTTGACGAAGGTCAGTGGGTTTGGGTGAAGTTGCAGCCATATCGGCAGAATTCCTTAGCCCGGCGGTGGAATAATAAACTGTCCCCACGATTTTATGGCCCCTTTCGAATACTGAAATGAATTGGTAAGGTAGCCTATCAATTGGAGCTTCCCCCGGAGTCACGCGTGCATAATGTGTTTCACGTATCCTTCCTTAAGCCATTACAGGCAATGCTCACTCCTTGCTTTCTCCACTACCACCTACAAGAGATGGCCGAGTGATTTTGCTGCCTGAGGCAGTGTTTAAGTGCAGACTCAACCGTGGTGTAAGGGAGATATTAGTCCAGTGGCAGGGGTTTCCCATGGAGGATGCCACTTGGGAAGTGTTAAGTAACTTTGTCTTGCAGTTTCCTGATTTCAAGCTTGCGGACAAGCTTGATGTCCCGGAGGGGAGTAATGATGCATTTTGGGGGCAGCATTATTCTCGTAGAACCAAGAACAAGCAGGATGAGGCAACAATAGGAAAGTTGGGGTAGAAAGGAAGCCACTAGGAAAGAATTGGAAAATTGAGGTTATTTAGAAAGATACTTATTTCAGTTTTTGGAAACTTATTTCCTTATTCTATAGATACTTTCGTTATTTAGTAAGTTGGAATATTTTAGCATATTACTTAGCTAGTCAGCTTATTTAGTTTATTTCCTATTTCATGAGTTGTAATTTACCCTATAAAAAGGGGAACCAATTCTAATAAAAAGCAAACAGAATTTTTATCCCAGCAAAGAGAATTAAGGAGTTCTGGGGCCTCAAGAAAACCCAGACCAGTTTTGTGCTATTTTCTATCTTACATTCTTGCCTGTGACGATCAGTTCATAACAGTCTACTACTCTTAGAAGTTTCAAGTGTGAAAATAGGCTTTCCTCGTCTACATACCTGTAATTGTAAAGATGAGTGCAATGAAAGGAATGAGATTTGTGAAAGCACTCATCATCTTCAAACCTGACTCTAGTTTTTTATGTAAGACTTATCCAACGGCAAGGTTTTTCATCTCCAATGACATTCATGAGATTTTCATAACGAGCTTCTTTCAAGCACAAATCTCGCAATAGATCATGTATCCTTACTCTTTTTATTTTCCCATTGTAGCTCTGTTTACTAACTATAACAAGACTTCTATCAACAAGATCTTGCAAGCATTCCATGGCCACTTCTTCCATATTCACATGCTTCACACTGCTCAAAAATCCTTCTGCTGCCCACAACGTAACCTAACCAACTTCTTCACAGGAATTTCATAGTCTTCCTAAAAAATTCCAAAATATAAAAAGCAAGCTTTTAAGTGATGGGGCAATTGGTTGTAACTTAGATATTGTATTCTCTGTTGATGTGCCTTAGTAAGTTAGTTAGTTACTAGTCAGTCAACAGACCAAGTCTTTAGGAGATATTATCTCTTTATGGCTTAATAATAGGATCTTTCAACAAATCAGAATTTTATGTGTTTGGTTACATTTTTTGCTCTATATAAAGAGCCATGGTTCTGTGAATAAAAATGCAGAAGTTAGCCTTTTTCTCCTACAATTTTCTGTTCTATATCCTGACTGTTTTTCTGCTACTTTACTTTAAAACAACAAATTGGTATCAGAGCTTATTCTTGAGGGACTTGTGAGTTGAGTGAATCCAGACACAAACCCAAAACACTACACAAAAATCCATAAACCCAATAACCTCTTCAAAAATGGATATTGAAAACAATTTCTCCCAAATTTCACCACCAATCTTTGATGGTGAGAATTACCAAGCCTGGGCTGTTAGAATGACAGTCCACTTGGAAGCATCAGATCTTTGGCAAGCTATAGACCAGGACTATGAGGTGGATCCACTGCCTGCAAATCCTACGATGGCTCAACTGAAGATACACAAAGAAAAAACATTGAGGAAGTCCAAAGCTAAAGCTTGTATGTTCTCTGCTGTTTCAAGTTCTATATTTACAAAAATTATAAACTTAAAGATAGCAAATGATATATGGGATTTTCTAAAGAAAGAGTACCAAGGAAATGAGAGAACCAGAAACATGCAAATACTTAACCTAATCATAGAGTTTGAAATGGTGAAGATGAAGGAGTCAGAAACCATTAAGGAGTACTCCAATAATCTCATCGGCATAACTAATAAGATACGGTTGCTTAGTAAGGACTTTTCTGATGATCGGATTGTGCAAAAGATCATTGTAACCTTACTTGAGAAGTATGAGTCAAAGATTTCTTCCTTGGAAGAATCTAAAGATCTGTCAAGCATATCCTTGGCAGAATTGGTACATGCATTGCAGGCACCAGAACAAAGGAGAATGCTGAGAAACGAAGCACCAATAGAGGGTGCTTTTCAAGCAAAGGCAGAAGGCTCAGGAGGAGGTGATAGGAAGAACTTCAAAAAGAAAAAGGCTGGCAACAACAAGAATGAAACATATCCACCATGTCCACACTGCAAAAAAACAAATCACCCACAAAGGAAATGTTGGTGGAGGCCTGATGTCAAGTGCAGAAAATGTGGTAAGACGGGACATATGGAGCGTATTTGCAAGTCCCAACAACATGAAGAAGCTAAAGCTTCTACAGAGCAATATGATGACGATCAACTGTTTGTTGCAACATGTTTTGCAACAATCGACAGCTCAAGTGATTCCTAGTTGATTGATAGTGGTTGCACGAATCACATGACCAATGATCGAGAGCTCTTCAAAGAGCTTGATAAAACAACTGTTTCTAAAGTAAAAATTGGAAATGGTGTTTTTCTTCCGATCAAAGAGAAAGGAACAGTGGCTATACAAAGCTTAACAAGTGTGAAATATATTTCAGATGTTTTGTATGTGCCTGAAATTGACCAAAATTTGCTTAGTGTTGGTCAGTTGATTGAAAAAGGCTTCAAAGTTCTTTTTGAGGACCAATGGTGCTTGATTAAAGATGCGCAAGGCAAAGGTGTGTTCAAAGTGAAGATGAGAGCAAAAAGCTTTGCTTTGAACTTAATGGAGGAAGAACAAATGGCATTTTCTAGCATTGTTAGCAATGCAGAAATATGACATAAAAGGCTTGGGCATTTCCACAATGCCGGTCTTTTACATATGCAGAAACATAACTTGGTGAAAGGAGTTCCGTTCTTGGAGGACAAGCTGGCTGATTGTGTGGCATGTCAATATGGAAAACAAGTCAAGCAATCTTTCCCGAAATTTGCATGGAGAGCAACACATAAGCTGCAACTTGTGCATACAGATGTTTGTGGACCTATGAGAACACCCACTTTGAATGGTAGTAAGTACTATATTGCATTCATTGATGATTATACAAGATATTGTTGGATTTATTTTCTCAAATTTAAATCTGAGGTTGCCAACACATTTTGGAGATATAAAACATGGGTGGAAAATCAAAGTGGTTGTAAGATACAGATAATAAGGTCTGATAATGGGAAAGAATATGCAAATGGCATGTTTGACAAGTTTTGTGAAGAAGCAGGTATTCAACATCAATTTACTCCTCCTTACACCCCACAGCAGAATGGTGTAATTGAGAGAAAAAATCGAAGCATTATGGAAATGCGAGGTGTGTGTTGCATGAAAAAGAGCTGCCTAAGAAATTGTGGACAGAGGCTGCTAGCACTGCTTTTTTCTTGCTGAATAGGCTGCCAACAAGAGTTTTAAAAAATAAAACTCCGCATGAAGCTTGGTTTGGTTATAAACCAAACCTACAAAATCTAAAGATATTTGGTTGTCTTTGTTTGTCATATGTGCCACAGGTGAAACGAGACAAACTTGATAAGAAAGCAGAACCAGGCATTTTTATTGGATATAGTAACACTTCCAAGGCTTATAGAATTTTCCAACCACAAAATGGAAAATGTCTGATAAGTAGAGATGTGAAGTTTATGGAGGACAAACAATGGAATTGGGATGTGACAACTAAAAAACAGCATTCTGAGATGACTGGAGAAATGCAGTTCCCAGAGTTTCCACAGCATACTAAAGATGACATTAATGATGACAATGTTGAAGGCGATTTTGAGCAGTCCCCAGGGACCCCAGAATATCTTGATGAGAACATAGGTCATGTCCCAGTTAGAGGTACTAGGACATTATCTGACATTTATGAAAGATGTAATGTTGCTGTTTTTGAGCCTGCGAATTTTACAGAAGCTGAGAAAGATGACAAGTGGATACAAGCAATGAAGGAAGAACTCAGAATGATTGAGAAAAAAGATACTTGACAACAAGTGAACAAGCCGCAAGATAGAAAGATCATTGGTGTCAAATGGGTTTACAGGACCAAACTTAATGCAGATGGTTCTGTAAACAAACACAAAGCTCGGTTAGTAGTGAAGGGGTATAGTCAAGTATTTGGAGTGGATTTCTCTGAAACATTTGCTCCGGTGGCACGCTTGGATACAATAAGAATGTTACTTGCTTTAGCAGCTCACAAAAAGTGAAAGATTTACCAGCTAGATGTAAAATCTGCATTCTTAAACGGTTATCTTCAAGAAGAGATTTTTGTTGACCAGCCTGAGGGTTTCAAAGTCAAGGGTCAGGAGGAGAAGGTCTACTTGTTAAAGAAGGCCTTGTATGGGCTTAAACAGGCTCCAAGGGCCTGGTACAGCAGGATTGATGAACACCTTCAAAAACTTGGATTTGTTAAAAGTCTAAGTGAAGCTACATTATATGTAAAAGGAACAGATACTAATCTAGTTATAGTCTCTGTTTATGTTGATGATCTTCTTGTAACAGGAAACAATGAGAATTTGGTGGCTGAGTTTAAAACTGAAATGCTCAAAGTATTTGAGATGACAGATCTTGGCTTGATGTCTTATTTTCTGGGCATGGAGGTGAAACAAGATCACAATGGAATTCTCATCAGCCAAAAGAAGTATGCAAAAGAAATACTTAAGAAATTTCATATGGAGGACTGCAAAAGTACTGACACGCTAATGAACCAAAAGGAAAAGTTCAGCAAAGATGATGGAGCTGAAAAAGTTGATGAAGGCAAATATAGAAGTTTGGTTGGTTGCCTGATGTATCTTACTGCAACCAGACCAGATATAATGTTTGCAGTAAGTTTGCTTTCAAGGTTTTTGCATTCTGCAAGTGAAATACATTTTCAAGCTGCAAAACGAATAGTAAGATATGTTAAGGGCACTACAAATTTTGGCATTAAATATTCTGACTGTCAAAGTTTTAAGCTTCTTGGATATTCTGATAGTGATTGGGCAGGCTCCATAGATGATATGAAAAGTACAACATGTTTCTATTTCAGTTTTGGATCAGCAGTTTTCTCGTGGTGTTCAAAAAAACAAAAGACGACAGCTCAAAGTACAGCAGAGGCAGAATATGTAGCAGCAAATGCCACAGTAAATCAAGCAATTTGGATTAGGAAAATACTTGTTGATTTACACATGGAGCAAAATGAGCCAACACAGATTTATGTAGACAATCAAGCTGCAATTGCAATTTCAAAGGATCCTGTTTTTCATGGAAAAACTAAACATTTCAAAATCAAGTTGTATCACTTAAGAGAAGAACAGAAGCATGGCGAGGTGAAGCTGCTTTATTGCAAGACTGAAAATCAAATTGCAGATGTTTTTACTAAAGCTTTGTCTAAAGCTAGATTTGAAATATTAAGAGACAAATTAGGCCTCTGTAGCTACTAAGGCAAGGAGGAGATTTGTTGATGTGCCTTAGTAAGTTAGTTAGTTACTAGTCAGTCAACAGACCAAGTCTTTAGGAGATATTATCTCTTTATGGCTTAATAATAGGATCTTTCAACAAATCAGAATTTTATGTGTTTGGTTACATTTTTTGCTCTATATAAAGAGCCATGGTGCTGTGAATAAAAATGCAGAAGTTAGACTTTTTCTCCGACAATTTTCTGTTTTATATCCTGACTGTTTTTCGGCTACTTTACTTTAAAACAACATTCTCGAACATGCATCATTGGAATTACCAGTTATACTTCTTGCAACATTCTCCCACTTTTCTTCCACCTCCTTTGTCTTGGAGAGAGACTAGCTACTACAGTAATAGCTAGAGGTAATCCTTTACATTTATTCACTATGTCTCTACCAATTTGCTCAAACTTTGGAGGAAATTCAATTTTACCAAACACTTTGCAGTAGAGACTCCAACTTTCATCATCATTTAAGAAAGGCATGTTAATGATAAAGTTACCTGAGCTAGAATATTTAGCCACCTTTTTGTACCGAGAAGTCAATAGTATACAACTTCCATTATTATCATCTGGAAAGCATCTTTGCACACTATCCCAAGTAGAAGTGCTCCCTATATCATCTATCACTATCAAATATCTCTGCTCAATCAGGTGTTTATGCAGACAATCAGCTAATTGGTCTTGGCCAGTGCTCTGTTCATCGAGTTCATCACTTGATGCTTTAGTAACACAACCAATAAGACATCGGAGCATTTGTTCCACGCTATACCCTTGGGATATAGTGACCCATGCTCGCTTGTCGAAATGAAAAGTAATTGATGGATGTTCATAGACTTTGTGTGCTAAAGTGGTCTTGCCGATTCCTCCCATGCCAACAATCGAAACAACTTTTCTGCTCCTCTTAGTTGATTTTGGCGTGAGCTGATCCAATATCTTCTTGAACACTACCTCATGGCATCCGACCATTCCACTATTGTCGCCGAACCCTTTTGAATAATAGTGTTGGAAAATTTTACACATTATTAATAATAATGTTGTTGTATAGTAGATAAGGCAATGGTAATCCTTTCATCACGAGCTGCAGTAGTCCTTTTTGTGGCGAAGCCTTTGGGAGCTGGTGTTTTTGATCACTTTGAATCCTACTCATCAACTCATTCTTGAGGTAATCAGTCTGTTTTTCTGCTTCATTGAAGATTTCATGAAGCCTGAGCAGGCAATCTGTTATATGAAGAAAACTATCCTTTGCTAGATAAATGGTAGTCAACTCCATCTCAATCCTTTCTTCCGCCTTGAACGATACATCTCGCATCTTTGTCTCTAAATCTTTGGCAATAATCTCAGAGTTCTGAGTTAGAATGTCTTGCAGAAATTGAAGATTTTCATGGAGAGAGATAATCTTTTGATTGACTTCAGCGACCTCTACTCTGAGCTGAGAACTACTCATTGGCATACTATGCCAATCTGTTTTACTGTTTGATTGAAGATTCCATGGAGGCAAGCATTTTTATTTTGCATAGTGAGGATAGAACTGGCAAAAAGAAAAAATACTGAGGTAAACTTGGTAAGAAAGTTGTTGGTCCCAAAAGAAGTAAGGTGAAAGTCTAGAGGGGGGTGAATAGACTTTCAAACTTTTTCGCACAATATAACAAAAGGTAAGCCAGAGATAAACCAAGACTCTTAACTAGATTGTTAGAGTCCGGTGCACAGCGGAATTAAATAAACGATACGGTGTGCATGTAGATCGTGTCAAGATTATTGACGTGAGAAGCAAGCAAGAGCGGTAAGTAAAGAAAGCAGTAAAGAACACAAGGCAATTTATAGTGGTTCGCGAGGTGATGTAATCCTCCTACTCTGAGTGTTTATCTCACAAAGAATATATCAATTTAAGCTCTTGAGATGGAAAGCTTTCTTTGAATTTTGTATGCTCTGTTTAGCTCTGTTCTTGCTCTTTGTATTTTGCTTTTCTTGCTTCTACCTTCCTCAGCTTCAATCTTCATCTATTTATAGCTGGTAATGAGAATCCGTCCGTTGGAAAGAAACGGTCTCATTTTCGAATTTTGCTTAGCTGTATAGCCTTTTGTCAGAAGATAAGATAACGTTGCAGATCTTGTCAGATATTTCAAATTGAGCTTGAGGTTTCAGCAAAAATGGCGTCCCATGAATCTCCATCTGGTGTAGATCACGCCTCTTGGGATTTTTATCTTCAAAATATATTCTCCAATATAATCCCTTACTAGTTAGACTAGTATTTTTGCTCCTGCAACTTCTTCTAATATCTTCCTCTGTTTTTCGTGTATCTGGGTCTGTATACTGCTTCCAGACTGCAACTTCTTCTAGACTGCAACTTCTTCTAATATCTTCCTCTGTTTTTCGTGTATCTGGGTCTGTATACTGCTTCCAGACTTCATCTCTGATTTGGAATTGCAATCTCATCCCTTGCAATCTATATCTCCAATTGAATTGAAGCCTTGATTTCCCTGTACCAATTTGAACTTCAATTCTTCTGATGAAATTGCATCCCTATTTCAATTTCGGGATTCCAATTTGTTTGGGATACCAATTTGAGAAACTGCATCCCTTCACTTGTAAAGTTCATCCCTTAGTCAATTTGGAAATCTCATTCCCTTTGACTTTGCAAATTGCATCCCTTGAAATCTCATCCCAATTGGAAATCTCAATGATCTCATCCCATTGACTTGCAAATTGTATCCCTTCGGCCAAACCATCGCCTCTTACTTGATCAGATGGAATTTTAACTTGGCTTCTTTAAAATATGTGGGATGTGAAATTCGAACCTGTGATCTTGCACATAATATTTCAAGCTTCTACCATCTCGTCCGTACAGCCTATTGGTTATTTTCTTGTTCCACTTGGTGTACTCCTTTCTTTCCATAGATGCTTGATCTTCAAGATAGCTTCATGCAAACTTCTAGTCACGTTCTTTCTTCTTCGGGATTTCTTGAGGGATTTTCTCAAATTTCATACGCATACATCTTCCTCTTCTGTTTGCCATTTTCTCTTGACAAATTCTTGATTTTTGGCTTGATATCTTCTTCATCCATTTCCTCAACTAATGAATTTATTTTTCCCTTTCTTGGTCTAAGACTCGACTAGTCTAATAAAATAAAATTGGGGATCTACGAATTACAATATGGCTTATCAAAATCTATTACAATTTATTCCTAACAATTTCCCCCCTTTTGATAATGCCATAACCTATACTCAAACATTGGCTTTAAGTCTTTGAAAAATATTTTTATTTTTACTCAATTTTATTTCAACAAAGCCAAGATGAGTTTGACAAAAATAATTCTAGGGAAAATAAAACTTTGTGAATTAATTTAGACAAGTCCTATACGCATCCTTGATTAATTTTTTTTTAATCAATTTTTATCTTTATCAAAATTTTGCATGCGTTTAACAACTCTTGTCTTTTGATTCACCAACTAATTACATGATAGCCAAAAAATAAATCAAAACAGACTTAGATCAGACCATGGGAAATTTTTATTCATATTAGTCGATTTGAGGAAATATTATTGTAGCTAGCCAAAATCATAGAAATTAAAACATCATATTCTTGAGGAATTTATGCTTGATTACCTTCTGGGTTTCTTGACTCCCATGTCAGCTTTCAATATATCCTTGATATGTTCTCTCATCTTGCAGATATCATTCTTGAACTTCTCACATTCAAATTTCTTAGTCACATTCCCAGCCATGTAGTGTCCAAAGGCCTCTTTAATGTTGGTGCCCGGAAGAGCTCCGGCTTCCCACCAAATTATGCATTCTTTAAAGCTTCTTTGGAATCCCAAACTTTCACCATTATTCTTGGTATAGTCTCTGAGCTCACACCACATTTCGGTTTGCTTCCTTTTTGCTTCTTCTTCTTTATTCTTGTCCAAAATCCATTGAGCTTGATCAGCTTTTGGCCATCTTTTCACCATACTCGGCACATTCTCGGATGTCCAGACTTTCTGCGGTGTTAAGGTTCCTTTTGAGCATTCGAACCAATCTCGAGTTTCGGCCACTTTCGATGAGCTTGATCCAAGACTCGGATTTGCAAATTGAGCAAAACCAACTTGGAATTGTTGACCACGTCCTCGTCCACGGCCTTTCGTTGGTGTGGCGGTCAAAACTGGCTGTTGCGGTTGACTTCCAATGATGAATTCATGTTGTTGTAAAGCCAGATGATTGAGAATTTCTTCCCCCCTTATGGCATTATCAATCAAAAAGCCAAGGGATTTGGAATCTTGTTCTTGATTGGCTTTAACAATCTTAACTCCATCATGTGTTTTGAGAGAAACATCCTGCAAAACAGACAATTTATTAGCCATGGAGGATAATTCCACCTCAAGGTGATTTATCTTTGTTTCTTGATCTTGTATGGCTTTGATTTGTCTCAGGTGTCTTTCACTGTTGATTTTCTCTGTGGCTTCTCGTTCCTTCTTCATCAGCTGGATGATCTCCAATAAACCTTCAGTGAGATCTCCTTTCAAATGTCGTTCGGCTCTTTCAATTTTTGTCTGCAAAGTGTTTTGATACTCCAACAACTCCTTCAAATTTGTTCGTGTGTTCTCAAAATGTTGCAAAGAGAGATGTCCTTGCTCGGTAAGAGTAGTTCCAATATTTTGACACACAACATCACTTGTTTCTGTAACTTTTGCAAAAAGTGATGTTAACAAATCATCTTCATCTTCTTCTCGGGTTCGGCCTCCTTGCATATTCAAAGAGTGTAAACTCTTGAATAAATTCCTTCTTGAATCTCCAAGAACCGGATTTTCGGTGAGTTGCAAATTCTCTTCTGGTGATTCGGCTTCTTCAAGATGATTTTCCACTTTTTCTTCAATTACCTCTGTTCTTGAAATAAGCTCTGCATTTAAAGTAGCTTCCAGAGAGGTATTTTGAAGTGACAATATAGGGGTGTTATCGTGTACTGGCACTTCATGTGAATATTCCCCCCCAATTGATGGTCTGATTTCACCATCAATTTGATCTCTTAATTCATCCCTTGTAGGGTCCAATTTTTGACTTTTGACCATATAACGTGATGAGGAAGTTTTGTTCATTTTTGGTCCTTTTTAATGGGGTAGGAAATTCGATTTGTTCCAAACACAGCCAACCCAACATTTTTATTTATTACTCCTTTAATCAGGAGTACAAAAGAGAGGATCACAAAAGACATTCCTTTTTGACAATACAACCACATCAACTGCGATTAGTGGAACAACATTCATCTTCACTGTTGTTCGAGTCAGTGTGTGGAGGAGATGGGCAGTACCCTGGTCCGGAATCTTCACTGTGCATGTTCGAGCTTGAGGACGAGTACGTTGCATTGAAGAACCTCGTGTAGTCCACAGGTGGACGAATGCGGGGATTCACCGGTGGAGGGGCAGATGGCAGAACGAGTTCTGGTGGTACTGGTGGTAGGTCAGGTTCTGCGGCCGGTGGTGCATCAAACTGAACTGGTGGTGCAAGAGGTTCATGAGAAATTCCTTCAAAGCCCGGTGGTGGCAACACTGGTCCGAATGTCAGATGCTTCAGATAGTGGATGTACTCGGTGTTGCTCATGTTCATGATTTCCTGGTAGATGTCCGGTTGCACAACAGGTGAAAATTTCAGAAAAGGTCCTTCAGATTCTTTTGACTTCTGTGGTTCGGCTAAGCCTTGACACGGTGGTGGCAAGCTTTTCTCAGCATCTCCTTCTTCAGCATAGATAAACCCTGGTTCTCTTGGTGGTGAAACAGGTGTATATTGTTCAGGGCCTTTCTCTTCAGATACGACAAGAGGGTCGTTTGCAGTATCTCCAACCAGATGTCCTCCAGCCTCAGCCCTTCTGGCTCACAACTTTTGGAGTCGCACTTGATTCCAGATTCTCTTAGATGTTCTCCTTTCTCCATTGTTCTTCTCCTTTGACACCATTGTTCTCCTGCAAGAAAATAGACTACTTGCACGGTTTGGATTGC